AGGTAGTTGTGATTGATATATTATTAATATTTAATATTTTGTCATATTTTTACTCTATATATAGATAGAATGCATGAATAAAATATATATACCTATATAAGATATATTTCATATATTATAAATACACATAAAAAACTCTTAAAATTCTCATCAATTTACTTGCTTAAATGATAAAGACAAATACAATTTAAATGATACGGAAAAACAAGATGAAAGATTTGTTGATAAAAAAATTAAATCTTCCAATCTTTATTACTCAAAAACCGAATTATATGTGTGATCAATTATAGGACTTTGAGCACCAACAAGTATATGATTTTATTCGGCAATAATAAGTTGTATTTGTTAAATTGCTTGATGAATTTGAAGTATAACATCTCAAATCACTTGAAGGAATTATTTCTATAGAAAAAGAAAAATGAAGGCAAGAAAGGTAAGTGAAAAGAGAAAAATCATGATAATGATTGTGTTACTATTACTACTACTATAAGTGGAGATGTTATTTTTCTTCATGATTATGAGTCATTTAAATTGTATTAAATAAGAGCATATGGGTAATTGATGTTGGTACTACAGTTCATGTTACACCACCAATAAACAAGGAAGTATAATTATTACTTAGAAGGGTTAAACGTACTACAAATGTTTGTTTTAATCCACTACAAAAAAAAACTTGTTATCACGGGCAAAAATCCGTAGATAATGCTCGCACTGAATTGTCACTAGAAGGAATCAAACCCGAGTATCTCGGAATAAGAGACCGATACTCCAACCACAAAACTATTAGGATATTTTGATAATAATTTACAAATAAATTTTATTTATATTTATCCGTGTAAATATAAAATATATAAATATAAAATATATAAATATAAAATATATAAATATATAAATATATAAATATAAAATATATAAATATAAAATATATAAATATAAAATATATAAATATAAAATATATAAATATAAAATATATAAATACAAATATATTTATATTTTGATATATTTATATATTCATATATTTATATATTTATATATTTATATATTTATATATTTATATATTTATATATTTATATATTTATATATTTATATATTTATATATTTATATATTTATATATTTATATATTTATATATTTATATATTTATATATTTATATATTTATATATTTATATATTTATATATTTATATTTTTATATTTTATATATTATATATTTATATATTTATATTAATATATTTTATATTTATATATTTATACGAATAAATATAAATATAATTTATTTGTAAGTTATTATTAGAATATTCTAATAGTTTAGTGGTTAGACTATCGACTTTTAACTTCAAGGTAATGTGTTCGATTTTTGACAGTGACAATTCTTTTAATTTGATATAATTTACCTACGGATTTTTATCCGTAGGTAATATTTTGTAGATAATAACCTTTTTTTTTTGTAGTGATCTAATTTCTATGCATTTGCTTGATGATAGTGGTTATGATAATAATTTTGATTTTGTTAAATATAACTCACTAAAGATAACTTGGTTATGGTCAGAGGGGAGAATATAAAATTTAAATTGTATTGGACTAAATCTTTTGTTGTTAAGACAATATTAATGTTTTGTATATAAAGACATTTTTGTAGCACTGAGCTCTTAACCCTATAAGTGAAAAATAACTTAATTGTTTAGCTAAAAAATATATGCTTTTGAGATTTAAAAGTGTAGAGTTGGAGAAATATTCTCATTACGTGGTTGGTAAACAAACCAAAGTAAGAAACATCACCTTTCAAGGAAGTTAGAGTTATTTCAATTGGTGCATTTAGGTGTTTGGGACTCATCAAAGGTAAAGTTGTTTAATGGTTCACTTTACTTTGTTACCTTTATTAATATTGTTTCAGAAAGCTATGAGTTTATGCACCACAATGAAATGATCAAGTTCTTGAAAAATTTAAAGAATTTCATACTTTAGGTGAGAAGAGGTCAAGCAAGAACTTGAAATGCATTTACACTGAAAGTGGTGGTGAGTATTATGAACCATTTGATATCTATTATAAGCACCAGGGTATCAGACATGTAAACAATCCTCCTAAAAATCTTTAGTTGAATGGTTTAGCAGAGAAGATGAATAAAACTTTAGTTGAAAGAGTCCATCGTATGTTTTCTAAAGCAAAGGTGCCTAAGCATATTTAAGGAGAGAATTGCTTATAATAATGCATGTAGTTAGTATTACTATTGCAATTGTTTTTAATATCGAGGAGCCAAAAGTAATTGGTTTGATAAAAATGTTAGATATGATCATATGCTTGTCTTCGGTTGCAAGACATTTGTTCATGTTTTACAAGGATTAAAGATCTAAGTTGGATGAAAAGACAAGACAATGTATTTTTAGTAGTTATGATCAGGATAAATTTGACTATAAATTGTATGATCCTATAGAGAATAAACTTATTAGAATTTGTGATAAAACACTACACTTGAAAGACTAAACGATTGAATATATTAGCAAAGTATATAACACTACACCTGATAAAATTAGTAATATGATCGATGGTAATCCAATGCAATTGCTTGTTTACAATTTGGAAAATGATGAGATTGATGCTCATAATAATGAACAATATGGGGATGTTATCAACAGGTTAGAAATTAATTTGAGGTTTTGATTGATGATATTCAAGATGAACATGATAAGGTACATGATGATGAACTTGATGATATATTTGAATTAGCAAGAGCCCCTCCTAGGTGGTCCAACAAGTCAAGACAATTGTTTTTCAAGTATTCTTTTGAAGAATATGTAACATTGACTAGTAGTGAAAACTTAGTTTTGAAAAGACTTCGAAAAAAAAAAACTATAACAGTTGAATGCATTGCAAGATGTGATGAAATCTCTACATATAATCACACTTATGACTTTGTGAAGTTATGTGAGGGCAAAATAATCTTAAATGATATCAGCCCAAAGAAGATATATTTATCATATGAAAGGAATTAAGTTTGAATAACTTATTACAACTAATGTTAAATAGTGTAATTTCTATCATTTAACACTTTATTATGTTTTTTTAGATTATGTTATCAATTTTATATGGATCATCTTTTATTTTGCATTGATACATTTGTTTTGTGTAACCAACTCAGCTATATAAGCAAGTGAAAATTTTATAAATATTAGAAGAGTACACCTAATTTTTTACAATTTTATTTCTATCATATCTTTCGAATTAGTTCCAATTTTACGATTTTGGTTTAGCTTGCACGATTTGTTTCTTCATTTACCTCATTCCTTCAAAAGTTGACCAAATATTGCCCATTATGTTTTCAATCTTATGCAACGACTACTTTCCAATATTCTTAAAACAACTTAAGACAAATATAATAACTCAAATTAGTAGAAAACCTATAATCAACATTATACAAACATTTTTTATCTAATGTTCCTTTAGAGAGTAAGACTTATCTTCCAATAAGACTTAGAAACTACTACTTGCCCAAATACCATTTTCCTTCTTTCCTTATGACCAAATGTTATTCCTTGCATCAAAATATTAAGTAAAATTAAACCTTGAAAAAGGGTAAACACAAAATTTGAACAACTGATTTAACCAAACAGTCAAACATTTTATCAAACAACCTACACTAAACTAAATAAAAACTATACTACAAAACTCTAAAAACATGACTTAGCATTACACAACATAAAAATCACATTGATTATCTCTATCCAAAAATCTCCCACTTACATAAGATAAAACTCATCATTTCTTTCAAATTAACTAATGTCAATAATAAGAAATTCAAACTTTTACCTTTCATAAGATGAATACTTCATAGGAACGAACTAAAATAAAAGTTTAAATACAGAAAAATAGGTTAAATGAGGGATTTAACTTTAATTATAGAATTCAACTATATGAACAACAACCTTGTCTATGTGACCAACAAAGAACATTGATGAACTTGCATCTCCAAGAATAAGCCAAAGACAATTAGGGTACCAACTAGTTTGTGATTCCAATAGTAATACATAAATCTCCACTAACTGGACATGTTAAAATCAAAAGAGTCAAAACATTACACCCATCTTCCACCATCAATAGTCATAACAAAACAAATTATCACCACTCTTTAGAACAATCTAAATCACAACCACCCCATAGAAATAAAGGGTGAAATCATAGCAAATAGAGGTGCAACACAGGTTAATCACAATACAACTGACTCCATTTATCACTAACAATTACGATGGTCCTAGAACTATCTATATGATCATGTATGACTGTTAAACGTGGGTTGGCCTAACGTTTTCTATATTTTAAATAAGAGTTGATTATTTTTTTTTAAATCCAAATATCTATGGGACAACTAAAAAATTAATAAAATAATAAATAATAATATTATTATTATTATATTAGAAAAAATTGTTAAATTGATTATATGTGCTAAACCCGGTTGTTAATATTTTGATTTTAAATATTTATAACACACAAAAAAATATTAAATGTAGTTTATCAAAGTTTCTGAACAATTGAATGATAAAAAAAATGAAGAAGAAATCACTAAGATTATTTTTAGTATGACTTGCTTGTTTAAAAATCAAATATACAAAACATACTCATAAGGGAAGAACATTCTTAGGAAATAGCTCTCGTTCTTAATCTATATAAATACTTCTGTACTCATTTGTATATCTTTAGATTTATCTATTTTTAGATAATAAAATATTTATGTGTCTTTAGGATGTTTTACATGTTTTTAAGGATATATGTTATTATAGGAAAGATGAACAAAAAGAATAAAAGAAAAATGGTGTTAGGATAGACTTAAATAATAATAAATAAGCACCATTATCATATAAATATATATATATATATATATATATATATATATATATATATATATAATATTCATCCTTTAGCTAAATTTATCAATTTATGTCAATTTTATAAAATAAAAGTTTTGGTGTTGGTCCATTGTCAGATTTTCAGTCCACAAGATCATGATTTTCAGGTCCACAAGATCATGATTTCCAGGGCAAGCTGCACAGCATTCTCTAAAAGCTGCCCATATAACTGACTGCTGCGTTCAGCAATAACGGAATTCACCCCTGGAAGAAGAATACTCATTATGTTCCGAAAGGCAGTCTTTCCACTCATGAAGTCCTGAAATAGACCAAATTATTTAATATAAACTGGTCAATTTAAACATTGAAAATTATAATACAAAATACATGAAATTAATATTAGCATCAATACTACATTGGCTGAATATTTTGTATTAAAAGACATAAAAATCCCAACAGCCAAATAAATTTGCATTGCTGATAGTTGCTCTTTAAGCATAAAAACAAAGAACTGATCCATAAATCTCAACGTTATGAGATCCATTATAACATAACATACCACTAACAAATCCAGAATCAAGGATGATAATCATCAGTGTTGAGATATTATTCAGTCATTGTTCAGTTTCATTTTGTATTGCGTATTTCATTCCTTAGTAGTATCCTTAGAGGGCCAATATGTATGCTGTAAGTACCATTAGTTAGTTGTAACTGCCCTAACTTTGTTAGTATAGCAGCTATATGATAACTGTCATTCACTCAGTTAGTTAGATAGTCAGCTAGGTCCCTCACCCTATATAATGGGTATGTTTCGTACACTCATAACATGAATAAAAGAATAATTCTTTTCATCAATCTATTTTCTCCCAGTTTTCTATTTCTGATATTGTACAGATCATGTAACACAATACACGATTCTTACTATTCTGATTTATATATTTGAATAACAAAATTACAAACACTGCCCACATGCGTAGTACACCAGAACAGGAAAATTAACCACACATACTTTGAGCAACTCTAAAACTGGGAGCTGTGTCTGAAGTGGTGATGATTCTTTAGTTGTTGAAAGTCGTGACTGGTCAACTACACCCTCGTAGTCCTCATCCTTGATGTCATACATGCTTAATATCCTGCAAATTTAAGTTCATCAAATAACATTCTTATATAAATCAAACAGCTCATATGACAGCTTGCTCATAGTTTTGGATTATAGAGATCAGTTTCAATCAATAAATAGAAAGGTTATGTTAGCGACTCAATTTCAAATGTGATTAGAAAAAATCAATCAACCCAATAATCATCATGGCCTATATCAAATAGACAACAGAGACATATTCCAATTATTTCTCAAAAGCCTGAAACAGAACCACTCACATGTGAAAATGTTTAAGGCACGCACAGACCAACTGCCATTTTTAACAAGGATCTGCATAGACTCGTTGAGGAAATGGCCCAAAAACATGGTCATAGATGAACCTAAAGATTCAAATAAATCTTGAAAAAAAAAAAAAGTTGTTAGACATTAGAGCACAAGCAAGAAAAAAACATGAATATAAAAATTCCAACAAAGGTTTGAAATATACTGTTCAGTACCTTCTCCCTCTATCAGACAAATCACTTTCTTCTGCAATAAGAGCATTTACCAAATTAAGGAAAGATATAGTTGAGGGATATTGTTCTCTCCTTGCTTCAATTTCATTCAGTTCAAATTGCATATCATAAACCTGTCAGATTTACAAGATCACTACTTGTGTATGAGAGGAAGAACAAGTAATGATTGTGAAGATTAAAAAACAGGAGAAATGTGATGAAAACAGTGGAGGAAACATATCAACAAAATGATAGAGCTTACAAGAAAGAAAAATAAAAAATTAAAAAGAAAGAATGAGACCTATTTATGACTAGTTTTTTTTCAAGTATATAGATTAACTTTATAATATACTCTATTGTTAGTTTTAGTACTGCAGTTCAAAAAAAATGCAGAGAATAGAAGCAAAACTACACGAGTAGTATAAGAAAATTCTAGCTATTGAGTATATCTATAAATGTGTCATGACCCACAAGGACATGCTGGTTAATGAATAGAAGAAAAACAACTTCTTGTTTTACAATAGGTACTTCATAGAAATCAAATCACTTAATCATTTTAAACTTTGACACATGTTTGGAAAAGTATATTTCTTTTCTATGAAATAACTGTTTTTTTTTTTTTTTTTTCTCAAGAGCTCTTTGATAAAAACTTGGTATCTTTTTTATAGAAGAATTTGGAAGAATTCTCAAATGTACTGTTAGGAAGAATTCACAGCACAGCTTGGTCTACTGATGTTTACATAGGGGTTACCCTGCGAATAACAATAGAGAAAAATTTAAGAGATAGAACTTCATCATGCCATTCAAATGGTAGCCTTACACATAAATAGGGCATCCACACAGAGAGTGGGCTAAACAGCTGGTCCATTTAGGAAAACAAACTAAAAAGTACTGAAATAAGGGCTTAGACCGGTGCATCATACATAATAGTTTCTAGTCTAATAAGACTTGAATAGTGGAAGAACATTATGTCCAAAGACCCCAATTTACAGACAATCTGCTTGCTAATTTTCTAATAAAATAAATAATAGATATTAACAGATTCAACAATCTATCAGGAAGCTAGCAAAACAAAAAAGTAACATATCTATAGCATTTTTACCCAAACTAACATTTCAAACAAACCCATAGTTGCTAGAGGAGTTGGTCCTCATAGTTTTGAGGGAAATAATTTCTAAAATGTTGATAATAGATAACTTATTCATCAATCAGATACACCAACCTGAGTACCCATGGATTGTGGATTGTTCTGGATATCAGGCCCAACAACTACTGGCAGATCATATTGCTCAAGATAGGTCCAGATGCTATCCTTCAGTATTGGAGAGACCTGAATAAATGTGGCTATTGCATTCCTCAAAGCACCCTATATCAACAAGTATCAACTTTAGAAAAAAAAAAAACAGTATAAACATTTGCATTGGATGTCACAGCTCTTAACAAAATCAAGAACCAAACTATACTTTCAACTTTCTGGTAAGAAAGTCATGATATAGCCATCATACCTTAAGATAAGGGGGTACATTTTCGTAACTAAGAAGCTTAAACAGTGCTTTGAAAAATATAAAAAATAGTAAATGTACTGATAGATATCCATATTTAGATAGTCTTCCTCTTGTGCTTGCAAATTGATCAAATTTTCCACTTCCAAAACCTTTTGAAATGTGAACCTTGAAAAAGTCACATGGTTTTTCGAACCAACTCCAAAATAATCCACACCTTCAATTTGACAAACTGAAATATCAAGGATTGATGCATTTTCCGTGGCTAACAATGTGTAGTTTAACTTGATGACCTGGGAACACACAGTTCTCATCTGTTACCGCTAAAATTGGGAACAAATAATTCATTGGCGAGGATACACATGTTTTCTGAACAAAGCATCAGCGTTACTGTATATAGCCACAACGTTTGAGAACACAGCAAGAAAAATCATGACAATCTATAAAATCTTGTCCTTCTTTGTCGCAATGTCATGAGGATCCCTGAAATAAAACAGATATAGATCAGTAGGGAAAATGGCTCTATGTACCTTTGAAGTCACACCAATTTAAATAATAGTTTTTTTGTCACTGAAAAATTACATTCGTGAAGCAAAACTCTAGCAATACAGAACCGATGAACAAAAGCACAGGAAATAGCAACTCTATTATTCAGTCTAGTTCTAAAAGTACACAATATCTATTATTTACTATCATCCTATATCCTAACTAAAATTTCAAAACTATAGCAGTCCAGAGGATTTAATTCTTAAGTTCTCAGCTGAAGAAACAGTTTGATTTATTTTGATACAATATAAAAGATTCGACATGAGCCAAGTATATTCCATGGAATGTCAGTCGGCTTCATCCTAAAAGCTGTATGAGCTTAAAGTCCCTAAACAACTACTAATTGATAATTCATAAAGATTCAGATAACAAGCACTTCAATTAAATGAACATGATCAAATTAACAATAATGAAATTTGATGTGATCACTATATTTTGATAGAGTAAGAATACCCACCTAAGACAAATTGCAGCAGGGAAAATAAACCCAAGGCAAACGGTGGCAGTAGCTCCAGTGAATTGGAATACATCCGAGATGCTAGGTACAAAATTTGCAGCCATATAGATTAAATTAATGAGTCCAATAGTGATCAAGACAAACCTGCGGTTATCCAAATCCAATGACCTAGCTGAAGGAAAGATGAAATTGTCCAAATTGAAGCGCAATGAGAAGAAGATAACTGGGAAAACAAGCATGAGGTGGAGGGCATAGCTGATACGAACAATGTCATTGAGTAGACTGCTATAAGGGATGCCTAAATCAGTATCAAAGTTGGCCAGCACATCATCAAGTGTAGACTCGCCAAATAGGAGAAATCCAAATAATGCTGTAAGAATATAAATACTAGAACACAGAACCAGTGATGCACGTATAACCGGTTGCATCACGGAAGGGTCTCCTAATTCATTGTCGATTGTATGCACTGCATGCACAGCACAGGACAAAACTTTGCTGAAAAATATTCTACCAGTACTTAGCACTGCTTGCATGTTATATCAAACATCTGAGTATAACAGAAAACATAAATAAAAAATAGTGAAGTTGATAGAACACCAGAAATATATTGGATGATGTATGCATTATTCAATTAAATAAGCAGAAAATTCCTTAGAAAAGGAAGACTCACACTAGAGCCAGCCACCAGCTCCTTAGGAATGATTTCCCTGTCTAAAATATTGATTACCAGCTTGACCCTCACATTGCTACGTCCCTAGCTATAAACTCTTAATTAGGTAAACTGGCAAGCCAGAATTGTAACTAACTCCCTCTCTCCCCATGGCCAACTCTGCCTTAAGCTATAAACCCAACAGTCATGAGTTTCTTTAAGCTTGGATCCCACAATTGATTCAGGCCTTGTTCAGCCCTACTATCAGACTTAGACCCAAAAGTCGGTAGAGGAACAATAGCACAGAATATTCATATTTGAATGACAAATATTAACAAAGTGTCACCTTTTCCAATTTTAAAGAAAAGTAATTATTCCAATAAGCATGAGGGATCATGAAGCATTAACAGAAACACCTTTAAAAAGGAAGATTTGTGATTGTAACTATTCAGAACATGTGAGAGAAAGGAACTGTTATCATTAACATTTTTGAGTGAATTGTATCTTTCTTTCCCTTCCACGGGTAAAATTGCTGTTCTTTCATTTGTCACCCTTTAATTGTTCTGCAACTAAGTTCGTCCAAAGAAAAGAGAGACGTATTCGACCAAGCCAAGTTTCAGGACAATAAGCAGAATATACTGTTGCAGGTAAGTTCCCAGGACTCATGGATTGACAAAAAGATTTTGCTTTACTGATTTGACATAAAAATATGTATTTCTATTTTAACACAAAGTATTGCACGCACATTACGTGATAGTATTTGAGTTATTAGTTAATATCTCTACTTTCATGGAAGACTTAAATCAGAATTTTGAAATGGAAAATAAAATTATCATTTGAAACATTAGAAATTGAACTGTTAAAATTGCAGAAACAATCTGGTAACTTACCATTGTAGTGACAAACAAATGCTGTCACAAGAACTGGCACTGCTGTAAAGAGATTCCAAATGGATGTAATATCAGTAATATTAGGAAGCATCCTGGGTTGGCTATACTGCCATTAAACAATTTGATGAATGTGATTCCCGCAGTTATGAATAGAAACACTATAGCCAGAGCCACTGCTAAGGCAGAAGTATGTCTCAATGAATCTGCAGGCACAAAATAAAGCTAAATGTTGTCCACCTACCAAAGAAAAAATCATCAATCTCCCACTGAAAATATCCACCCAGTGTCCACCCCACACAGTGATTAATCACTTGTGAAGCATATTTAATCATTAATGCCACAACTACAAATTGCCATTAGTATACAGTCACATTCACTTACTATTAATTACTTCTAAGACAAAATAAATCACTATTGAATATTTTAGAAGTCATAACACAAAGCCTATTTGGATAAGCTTATCTGAAAGACTTTTAGGAGAAAAATACAAAGAAAAAAAATAAAATTATTTTATATACAAGTTAAAAATAATTTTTTTAAGAATTATACAAGAAAATTTCCACAAAATAATTTATGTATAAGCTAAATATAAAGATAATTTTATGTTATTTTTCTTATTTTTCTCACTTAAAAGAAATTCGTCCAATATAAACTGATACTGTTAGTCTAATGTGTAGTATAGTTACCTATCCTCTTAAAGAAACCCAATGGAGCAAATACGAACAGAGCTGTGAGAAGAAGAACAAAAGTACGAGCAGTCCACAAGCACTGACCAAACCAACCCTCAAGCACCCCAAAATGATGGACTCCACTTGAAGATGTTCCAGACAAGACATCACCAATTATGATGACGTAGACAACAAGTATGCCAAAGTTGTTGAGAAGCACCGACAAGTGAAAAAGCAGAGTTCCATAACTCCCAAAAGCACCCCCCATGAGGTGGGCGTAGGTGGAGGCCTTGGCAACTCTGCTAAATCTGAGAAGAATCTCCAGAGAGGTGTGTGTGAGGAAGGCAAGGAAGATGATGGCAGCAACGACCACAACCACACCGACAACTTTCATGGCTGCAGGTAAGGCCATGATCCCACCACCGATGATCGTCGTTGATAAATTGAACACAGAACCACTAACTGATGCCTTTGACTTCGATTCAGACCCTGACCCAGACCCATCATCTCTTTCTCTGCTTCCAAGCAGTGGCAACGCCAACGCTGATTCCTCCTCTTCATCAACAACGCAATAAGATTTGCACCCATTTATATTTCTAAATGACATTAAATCTTCCACATCATATACGGTAATTGGCATCCAATTAAACCATGAAGAATGAGAAGAACATGGTTATTACCAAGCACATTGGCTAAAACAAGAGAACTAAACAAAAAATTTAACTTTCAACATGCATTGAACTGAATCGTCTTCCACTAAGCAAAATCAAGAAAATAATTCATTATGATCAATAGCGTGTTGATTTTCGGACAGAAACAAAAGATACATTCATAATTCATAATTTAAATGATGACAATAATTAAAAACAAACACTTCATTCTATCAAATTATCCTCATTTATCTCAGCTCATGCAGAACAATTCTAAGTAATAGAGATGTAAGATTGCACGTCATTTTTACAAACTTGTCTAGAATCTAAAATTTTAAATACTCTAGAAGCTGAAGTAAATATTAAAATAAATACTCCTTTAAGAAGCAAAAAATTCAGCAGAAACTTGATATGAGAAGCTTAGTATAACACAACTGTCTAAATTTTAAGTTACTAGGATTTGGCTAGTTGAAGGACTTGGGTAGTGTGCATGAGGCCACAGCTTCTAACATTGTTGCCACCATTATATCCAAATAAATAAAGGGCTTCCTCGGGAGTACAAATAAAAATCCTATTTAAATTGTCAAAACTGTCTCACAAACAGTCTTGGCTTGTACGAATCTTTTCCCCCTCAAATTAAGACAAAAGATGATGGTAAGTCAGTAGGAGTGGACACCATATTCTGTAATTTTGTTTAAGTCCAAATGAAATTACAGGATAGTCAACACAACTGCATTGCAGGCTTGGTAATGATACTCAACTTTCGAAGAAAGAGGCATCACATGTCTCTTCATATGGAAGAACCCTGTAATTAACAGTCACTTTTGACATTTCTTTATACTTGAGAATATAACAACTAGACCTGTCACCAAAAGTCTCCACATGAACATGTTCCATCTTTAAACAAGTGGAATCGGGCAGCATCTCTAACAAGAATCTCCCTCTGAGTGATCTTAGATATATACTTAGTTGCATTGTGGCAATCTCCACAAACCCTTAAATTTTTAACTACTCGTATTGGCAAACCAGGATGAATAAATATCAACCCAAAAGCAATTGCAAGCTTTTCACTATGGTGATTAAGCATCTTTATTTTCTCTGAATCCTCAACATCATGCAAAACAGAACCCATATCAGGGAATATATCCCTCTCGTACCATTTTATAGTTCAAATTTTCAAGCTCAGAATATATCTGATCTGAAAATGGGTTTGACCGATCATCAGCAGAAAAAATGTGCAATTGGTTCTTATATTTGATCCAGCTACATCCTGGTTCTTTTCTCAGACCCTTATCCCTCATCCCTTTTCTTAATATGGCAACTTCTTCCCATTTTCCTTTAGCAGCATAGATGCTTGAAAGTAAGATGTAACTAGCGGTGTTATGTGGTTCTAATTTTAGAAGAGATTCAGCTGCCCACTTGCCAATTTCCATGTTTCTATAGAATCTACATGAACTTAGTAAGGATGCCCAACCAATTGCGTCAGGTCTAAAAGGCATCTTATTTATAAAATTCCTAGCCTCTTCTAACCTCCCTGCTCGACCAAAGAGGTCAATCATGCACGTGTAATGATCCTGAATGGGTACAATCATATGTTCCTTAATCATTGACTCAAATATCTGATTTCCTTTCTCTACGAGTCCTGCTCTACTGCACGCTGAAAGAACCCCTATAAAAGTAACCTTGTCGGGTTTGAAACCTTGGGCTAACATGCTTTCAAACAACCTTATTGTTTCATTGGCTTTACCAAACTGCGCATACCCAGAAACAAGTGCAGTCCATGAGACTTTATCAACGAAGATCATTTCACTAAAAAGACTATGAGAGTCTTCAATGCTTCCACATTTACCATATAATGTAACTAGAGCATTGGAAACAGTGATAAAAGAAAGTAAGCCAGAAACCAGAGCTCTGCCATGAAACTGAGCGCCCTCTTCTAGGCTAGCAAGGTTTGCACATGAGCTAATTACACTCCCAAGAGTGAAATCATCTGGCTCAATCCCATATTTTTGCATATCACAAAATATTTTAACAGCTTCTTCACTATAACCATTCTGTCCATAACCAACCAACATTGCAGTCCAAGATACAACATTCTTGCAAGTCATCTTCCCAAAAACTGATTCTGCTGATTTTATACTCTTACACTTACAATACATGTCAACAAGAGCGCTACCAACAAATATATTATCCTGGTAATCTGTCTTAATTATATAAGCATGAACTTGCTTGCCTTCTTGCAAAGCCGTAAGACCACCACAAGCAGTTAACACGCTTCCAAAGGTGTACTGATCCATCTCAAGATTTTCTAATCTCATCTCTCGGAATAAATCAATAGCTTCTATGTCAAAGCCATTCTGAGTAAATCCTGCAATCATTGCTGTCCAGGTAATAGAATCCTTTACTCTCATTTCATAAAACAACTGCCTCGTATCCTCAATCCTACCGCTTCGCATAAGCCCTGCAATCAGTGTATTATACATAACCACATTCTTCTCAGGCATCTCATCAAAAACCTGTCTTGCACAAAATATAAGTCCCATTTTTGAGTACATATTCACCAAAGGACTCCCAACAAAAACATACGACTGAAAACCAAATTTCACCACTTGCCCATGAATCTGCCTACCCAAACGAACACAGTCCTGATTGGATGCAAGTATCAGCATAGTGGATAACGCAATCCGATTTAAATTACATGACCCATCACTCAACATCCTATTATAAGCCTTCACCGATTGAACAAGGAAACCACGACCAGCATAGCCGGAAATAAGGGAATTCCATGAGACCATATCTCGGGTTGGCATTGCATCAAACACACGTTTCATTTGAGGAAGACGACCCAGTTTTGAATAGGAGGAGAGAAGTGTGTTCCAAGAGTAGAGATTCCGTTGAGGCATTTGTTCAAACACCCGGCCGGCATAAGTGATGCTTCCAAACTTAGCGTATGCATTGACTAAGTTGTTTAGCAGAAAGGTTTCAGGTTTTCGGAAGGCCTTGATTATGTTGCAATGGACCTTCTTTGTGTCGCCGCAATGTTTGAGTAACTCACAGTAGTGGTTAGACAGAGCCATGGAATTGAATAGTTTTGAGACATGCAAATACTATTAAATTCCACAATTCACCGCATTTGGATCATCTGCTGCAAATAGCTCTCTACACCTTAACAGTACAAAACATCCAATATAAGTTCAGATATAAAATTAGTTAAACGCTTAATGATTTAAAAAAATTTTAGCACTGCACTTATATGGGCGGGCAAAAATCCACCTCTAATGGTTGGGGACGGGGACGAGCGTAAGAGAAAGCTGGTCCTGGAACTGAGTCCCTATAAGCAATAGAGGCCTCTCTGCAGGCTTTCACGGAACTACTTAGCCTAGCCTATAAATAACAAAAAAAAAAAAAAATCAATATCAAATTTCCTAGAGATTCCTTAAGTTAAGGGCTAAAATCCTATTACGCCTTCCGCGTTTAAGGGTGGATAAATGAAATGAATTCGGCCAAATCCGAATTTCGTTTTGCTTAGTTAGCCACTCACTCAGTCCACAGATTCGGATTAGTCAAAATAGAACTAGACAGATCAAGGGGAGAGAAGGCTCATCGATCAGTCTTAGCTATGGTTCCATTTCTTTATTCAGTCAACCAGGCAGAATTGGAAAATCAAATAGATAGAGTAGATCCTATTCTAGATGGAAGAAGTGCGGGGATGGCGATCCAATTCCTACCCTGGCTTAGACGGAAGAGAGATCCTTTCAAGCCCAAGTAAGGAGAATCTGCTGCGTTCGGGTGACGGGGAGTGTTTGAAAAGGACGCTGAAGGCTCTGTACCATCCGTGGAACCAATACGTGGTGCATTTGGACCTTGAGGCCTCCGCGAAGGAGAGGTTGGACCTCGCGGATTTCGTCACCAAGGAGGATTTCTTTGTGAAATTCAGAAATGTTAGAACGGTGGTTAAGGCTAACTTGGTTACCTACAGAGGGCCCACAATGGTCGCTAATACCCTTCACGCCGCCACCATTTTGTTGAATCAAGCTGGGGACTGGGATTGGTTCATTAATTTGAGCGCTTCCGATTACCCTTTGGTGACCCAAGATGGTAGGAACCTCCTCCTCTCCCATTCTAATCTTTAATTTCTTTTTAACTTGCAAACTTCGTGGATATGCATAAATTTTTTGCTTAATAATTTTATTCAAATAATAACACAACAAATAAAATTAGTTTATTGAAATATTAAAACTATTTTATGCGAAAAAAAGTTATAAAAATTCTTATAAGATTTTTTTTAATTTGTATATAATTTAGTTGTAACTTAACTTGGTTTAACTTATTGTTTTTACGGAGAAGTTTGTTAAAAAAATCCTTTTCATTGATGATGTTTCGTTAATTTGCTTTTTTTGTTCTTCAGTGACAACCAATCTTGTCTTTTATCTGTCTTCTTGTTGCTAATTTTGCTCCCTCTTAAGTTAAATATAAATTTTTGTTTAGCAAAATTTGAAAGATAGTTTGATTAGGAGCCAATCTGTGTTTTGAAGTAGGTGTATCCACTAAGCATCTACTCTTAGAAGTAGGTCTGTCTCACTTAAAATCAGTTTCCATACCTTTGTTTGACCAGAAGTTATATATGTCGGCAGACTCACTCTCGCTCACTACTCTACTCTGGTTATCGACTAATAGCATTTTGCATTTTTTAGTTATTATAAAAACTCAAAAAATGTGTCATATATATTAATTTATATAACATTATAATATGCTAGTAATAGATAATATACTATATACACGGTGATTATATTAATTTTTATCAAATAATAGCTTAAAATTACATTGCCAAATATACCTTTTAAACTCCTTATATTATATATTACTGTTTCAAATAATTAGAAATAATTCTTGAGATATCTTTGAATTAGTATCATAAAAATTAATAAATCTATCACACACACACACACACACACACACACACACATATATATATATATATATATATATATATATATATATATATATATATATATAGTTATCATAATAATAGTAGTTTTTAATTAAATGAATATTGTAAATATATTTTAATTAAAGTTTAATCAAAAGTGTATGTTATAGAATGCTGAATAGTAATATTTTTCAAGAAATGTACATTGTGGAAGAATTTAATGATTTACTAATTAATTTTACTAATTGTTGGAACGTCAAAATTAATGAAGACAGAGAGAACCACGAACGATGATATGATGCCCAGTTTGAACTGTCATTGACCAACTTTTGCAATTTGCTCCATTTCTTTTGCACAACAGATCTGCTGCATACGCTCTCGTCTATATCCCAGATACCTGAACTTCATTGAACACACCAGTGATATTGGTTGGAAGGAGTAAGTTACCAAATATTTTCGCCATTCTGTTCATCGCATGATTTATGCAAACATCAATGTATCACTTTTTTAAAAGGGCTACTTTACTCGTTTGAATAGGTATCATAGAGCCAAGCCAGTTATACTCGATCCAGGTCTTTATAGTTTGAATAAATCAGATGTATTTTGGGTATCGGAGAAAAGAAATGTGCCCACGGCTTATAAACTGTTTACAGGTGAGAAACTTTTGCCTATCATTTTTGACGAATCAACATTTTACTTTCCGCGCCCACCTAGTCAAATTTCTAACTTTTTAAAATTCTAGATTGTTTAAATACTAAAAAATCACACACTAATCCCTGCATAGATTAAAAGACAATTACAAATACTCAGAGCAGTTAAGGAAATTCTTGAACAAAGTCTGACACTAATAATGTAAAGTGTGAAAGATAAGACATTGATATTTGATAGTACTGTGTAACTGTGAAGGCATTTACAACTAACTTGTTGCATGAGATCACAGTTTACTCGAATGCGAGTTAACCAACTTTTCCATTACTAAAAAGACTTAAAATTAAAGAAAGCAACTTGAAATTGGTCGTCTCAATTTGATGTTATCATAGGTTTTAAATTTTGATTCTTGATTTTCCACAGGTTCTGCCTGGATGATGCTCTCTCGCCCATTTACTGAATACTGTATATGGGGTTGGGATAACTTACCTAGAACAGTCTTGATGCATTATGCCAATTTTCTGTCTTCCCCAGAAGGGTATTTTCACACAGTCATCTGCAATGCTAAGGAATTTCGTAACACTACTGTTAATCATGACCTCCACTTTATATCATGGGACAACCCTCCAAAACAACATTCCCATTTTCTTACAGATAATGACTACCAGGGAATGGTGGACAGCAATGTTCCTCTTGCTTTTGCTAGGAAATTTGGCAGGCACGAACCAGTCTTGGATAAGATTGATAAGGAATTCTTAGGAAGAAATACAGATGGTTATGTGCCTGGCAGGTGGTTCAGTCCAGCAAATTCAAGCATTATTAACCATTATTCTGGCGTAGGAAATGTCACTGACCTAAGGCCAGGCTCTGGAGCTCAAAGGCTTCGACGCCTTATCAGTGGTTTATTATCAGCAGAAAATTTTCAAACAAATCAGTGTTCTTGACACCTGAGTTTGGAATGCCTATTATGTTCATTGCTGCATTTCCATTATCCAACCGCTGAGAGACAAACAATTCATTTCATCCGTTGATGCCCGGAGGTTGCTATGAGGTCAAACATGAAATATGTGTTGATATTTTGAAGGGTTTTGTGTATATGTATTTCTAATATATCATGTGAATATATTTTTATTCATGTACTCTATCTATATATAGAATAAAAATATTACAAAATATTAAATATTCATAATATCTCAATCATAACTGTCTAAATCAAAATAATAACCTAAAGTCTTTTTACCTTCTATCTTAAAAGATAATAAAATCTCTTAATATCTAATTTAAATAAAAGATAATAAAGTAATATTTCCAACATTCTTCCTTACTTTAATATCTATTTATTTGACTTTGATATATTTTTTCCTCCTTTTTTGTTTATACTTCTTGTTATCTTCTTTCTTGTATGAGATCACATCTGCATTCTTCACTTTCTTCATCAACATATTTCTTCCTTTATCAACTTCATCTCCTTTGTTTCTTTCAAACTTCATGGTAGTACTGTTGACTCTTTGATGGTCGTTGAAAACGGTTTCTTCATCTACATCTTTATTTTTCTCCTTAACATCAAATTCCTTCAGAAAATCTTCTTCATGTTTTTTCTTTGACTTTTTTTTTATATCTTCGTTTGTAATCATCTCTTCTTTCATCAAATCTAAAGTGAAACTTTTTCCTTTCATGTGAACTTTGAATATTTCCAAGTTATTTGTATCTTCAATCACACAAAGTTTGTGTTCAAAAGACACCTTATAACTTTTCTCCAATAATTGAGTAACACTTAACAAATTATGATTAATATCAGGAACATATAAAACATCAAAAATTAATTTGGTACCCGAATGACTTTTAACTGCAATTGTTCCCGTGCCTTTCACATCCATTTGTTCTCCATTACCAATTCTCACTTTAGAAATATGTGATTCGTTGAGTTCTTTGAAAAATTCTCAATCATGAGTCATGTGGTTTGTACAACCACTGTCTATAAGCCAACCTGTAAATTTGTTGATTGTAGAGCATGTTGATGCAAGGAGAAGTACCTCTTCTTCTCTATCCTCTATAAATTAAACAACTTCCTCTAGTTGTGATTTGCATATCTTTTCTATATGTCCCAATTGACCACATTTGTGACATTTCACATCAGGCCTCCACCAACACTTGTTGGGTGTGTGATTATTTTTCTTGAAATAAGGACAAACAGAAAATACTCGTAATTTTGTACCTTTGTTGTTCTTGGCTTGGACAGAACCTCTATCATGATATAGTAAAGAACCTTCACTAGCAGCATGATCTCCTCTCATCAATCTTCGTTGCTCTTGCGCTTCTAGGGACCCAACAAGCTCTTCAAGGGTGAGCATTAACAGATCATTGGACTCCTCTATTGCGCACACAATGTTCTCGAAATCATCTGTTAATGATCTCAAAATTTTTTCAATAACTCGGTTTGATGAAAGACTCTCACCATTCTGATTCAGCTTGTTCACCACAGTCTCCACCCGAGTAATGAACTCATACGCTTTCAGACTCTTTCATCCTCATGTTTTCAAGCTCTCCCCTAAGGGTTTGAAGTCGAACTTGTTTCACCCTTTCATTTCCTTTATTTGCTTTTTCAAGTGTATCTCATGCTACTTTGGAAGATTTTGCGTTAGCTATCTTCTCAAAGCCAGATTCGTCGACGGCTCGGTATAGTATATATAAAATGCGTTCAGCTGGGCATTTGAATACCCATCTGTGTTCGCCGGTTCCTCATACCCATTCTCGACCACATCCCAGTTATCTTGGGATCCGAGAAGAGCCTTCATTTGTACCTTCCAGTTGTCATAATTGGCGCATTTCGTCAACTTGGGTAGCGGGATGTCATTGGTTAGACCTGTCATTTTCTCTCAAGTGTTTGCACTCAACTCATACACCTCACAAAGTTATGAGTTGTTCTTCTCTCTTTATCAGACGTTCACCTCACACACAAGCTCTGATACCAATTTGTTGGTATTTTGAAGGGTTTTGTGTATATGTATTTCTGATATATCATGTGAGTATATTTTTATTCATGTACTCTATGTATATATAGAGTAAAAATATTACAAAATATTAAATATTCATAATATTTCAATCATAACTGTCTAAATTAAAATAATAACCTAAAGTTTTTTTACCTTCTATCTTAAAAGATAATAAAATCTCTTAATACTTAATTTAAATAAAAGATAATAAAGTAATATTTCCAAACAATATTAGTACATTGAAGGGAAAACAGAAGTGGCTACCTTTGACTTGATGTTCTAACGGAAATTTGTAAAAGGACCACGAGTATGCTGTCACTATATATCGGCAGGTCACACGATATGAAATATAGAAAATATGAAACTCAATTATGTAATACGTGGGCAAGATCCTTGTTAGGCGGAAACTGAAATAAGCCAGTGTAAAGCATTCTCCAAATTCTTTATGCAATGACGCGGTAGCTGCAGTATATCCTGTGTGTTCTTTCCTTCTTCTTTTTTTCTTTTGCTCTTTCTTTCCTAGTGGAGCTACTGCCTTCATAAATTCACCAATTCAGTAACCACAAGTTATATTTGATTTTCTTTTTCATGTCCATAGGTTCTTGGAAATAACAATAATTATGCTAAAAGCATGTAAGTAAACAATGTAGCAGTAAACATTAGCTTATACCCCTCAGAAGTGCTTTAAAATCCCCATCTTGAGAATTGAATCCAGCAATTTGTACATTTCCTGTGCTTGAGGATGAGAATGATCACCTGCAAGAAACTCTTAACTTCATTATCCACCTCTATTATGCTGCATCCAGGCTTCTTTTTCATCCCTATTTCTTCGATCCTACTCCTAACTTTTTTTGCCTCTGCTTCCCACCCAGCTTCTCTATATATATTGTAAGTAAGAACATGAGTACCACAGTCAGCGATCCCCATGTCAAGCAGTTTTTTCCATACTCTATTCGCAACATGAATATTTTTATGAATTCTACATGCATTAAGAAGAGCACCCCACACGTTAGCATCACTGGCTGCAAGTCCACCCATCTTCTGCAAAAAATTTTCAGCTTCCTCTACCATGCCAGCTCTTGACAAAAGGTCAACAACACAAGCATAATGCTCCATTTTGGGGGAAACTCCATAAGAGCTACTCATTTCTTCAAACAACCAAAGGCCTTGCTGAATCATCTTTGCATGAGTGCAAGCAGTTAGGACAGCCACAAATGTAGTCTCATTCGGCTTAGTCCCAGAAGCAGCCATTTGGCAAAACAACTCCAGAGATTTCTCTGCATCACCATTCAAGGCAACACCAGATATCATTGCATTCCATGCACCAGCATCCTTATCAATAATGCTCTATAAAACAGATAAAGCAGGTTCAACACATCCACATTTGGAATACATGTCCACCAAAGCCGTTGCAAAAATTGGATTCGAGTCAAGTTGGAATCTCTTGGCATAGGAATGCACCCACATTCCCTGCGCCAATGCACCAAGATTGGCACGCGCAGTGAGGACCGTGACAAGGACGGATTCATTCGGCTTTGTACCCTCGTTTTGCATCTCTTCAAACAAGGCCAGCACTTCCTTGAAGTCACCAACTCGAGAATACGCTGCCATCATGGCACTACACGAGACAGAGTTTCTGTGAGGCATTTGCTCAAACACTTCTCTAGCCTTTTCCACACTCCCCATTTTACCGTAACCGTCAACCATTGCTGTCCCCAATACCACATCTTTCATTGTCGTTTTATCAAACAACACCCGTGCATTTTCCACCTCACGAGAAACAGAGTACAACTCGATAAACGCACTCACGACGTAAGGGTCGTCGCGGAACCCGAACTTAACGACGTGGTCGTGCACCCAACGACCAATGACGTTCGAAGAAGGAAGAAGCGCAATGCAAGCCTTGACCAAAGGTGGGAATGTGTAGTTGTTAATGGCAATGCCGTTTTGGAGCATGGACAAGTTATGGCCACTTAAATTAGACATTTAGTATTCTTAAAATAATATTAATAGTTTTAATTACGAGTGGTATAATTAATGTCTTGTAAATTTATTTAATAGGTATTATGATTTACGTTTGGTATTTTAAGAGGCAAATATTTTGGTCATAATAATTGTAATAACTCATTTGAAATTGCATCAGGAGAAAAAAACTGAGAGTGTTGTTTTGTTTTCCTGTTACCAACAAATTGACATCAGAGCTTGTGTGAGGTGAGTGTGAGAGAGCCCAACAAGCCTCAAGAGAAAATGCTGCAGTGTTTGCTGGCTGAGAAAGAGAGAGGAGCGACTCAGAATTTTGTGAGGGGTGTGAGATGAGTACAAACACTTGAGAGGAAATGACAGGTCTAACCAATGATATTCCACTATCCAAGTTGACGAAAGACACCAACTATGATAACTGGAAGGTACAAATGAAGGTTCTTCTCGGCTCCCAAGATAACTGGGATGTGGTCGAGAATGGGTATGAGGAACCGGCGAACACAGATGGGTATTCAAATACCCAGCTGAACGCATTGAAGGTCGTTCGAGCTAAAGACAAGACGGCTCTATATCTATTATACCGAGCCGTTGACGAATCTGATTTTGAGAAGATAGTTAACGCAAAATCTTCCAAAGTAGCATGGGATTCACTTGAAAAAGCAAACAAAGGAGATGAAATGGTGAAACAAGTTCGACTTCAAACCCTTAGGGGCGAGCTTGAAAACATGAGGCTGAAAGAGCCTGAAAGTGTATCCGAGTTCATTACTCGAGTGGAGACCGTGGTGAACAAACTGAATCAGAATGGTGAAAGTCTTTCATCAAACCGAGTTGTTGAAAAACAAGAAGGGGGAGTCCCTTGAACAGGCTCTCCAGGCAAAGGCGACAATAAATGAGGAGAAGGTGTTATATGCTCAGAGTACTAGAGACCGAGGAAAAGGTAGAAGTCGTGGTGGTAGAGGAAAAGGAGGACGAGGAAATGAGCAAGATGGTCAACAGAACTGGCGTGGCCAAGGACAGGCTCGGGGTGGCCGGACAAACACAAACAATATTGAATGCTATAATTGTGGGAAGAATTGGCATATTGTCAAGGATTGTTACTTGGTAAAATGCTATAATTGTGGAAAGAATGGACATGTTGCCAAGGACTATTACTCCGTAAAATGCTATAATTGTGGAAAACTGGGTCATATTTCCAAAACAAAGCATTGGTGCTGGAGTAACCCAACAGAAGAAGAAACTAGTTCAGAAATTGTTTTGCCTTCAACAATAACAACTATTGAGTCCTCAGATAAAGAAATAGAGTCATAACAGCCCAAGATGAGAAGTCTGCAGGAAATATACGACACTACAAATGAAGTTCATGTTGTATGTCTTTTAGCTGACTCTGAAGACTTGAGTTTTGAGAAAGTTGTCCAAGATGAGAAGTGGATAACAACCATGGATGAGGAGATTGGAGCGATTGAACGCAACAAAACTTGGGAGATGAATGTTGAGGGAGAGGTTGAACGTTACAAGACTCGACTTGTGGTAAAGGGCTATAGACAAAAGGAGGGAATTGACTATGATGAAGTATTTGCTCCTGTCACGATAATAGAGTCAATCCGACTTCTGATCTCATTAGCTGCTCAGAATCAATGGTTGATTCTACAGATGGATGTGAAGTCGGCATTTCTAAATGGAGTGCTGAAGGAAGAGGCAACCACTCAGGTACATGAAGAGAGGGGATGAGAAAAAGGTACTGAGATTAAGAAAAACTCTCTATGGGCTAAGAAAAGCTCTCTATGGGCTAAAACATGCTCTTTGTGCCCGGAATGAGAGAATTGATAGGTATTTCAAGAAAAATGGGTATGAACAATGTCCATATGAGCATGTTTTGTACACAAAGAAATCAGAAAAAGATATGATGGTAGTCACTCTTTATGTCGACAATCTCATATTCACTGGAAGCAACACAAAGCTAATTAAGGAGTTCAAGGAGGTAATGAAGAAAGAGTTCGAAATGACAGACTTAAGGCTGATGAAATATTTTCTTAGCCTAGAAGTAAAGCAGTCAGAGGAAGGAATTTTTATATCCTAAGAGAGGTACGCACTTGAAATTTTAAAGAAATTTAAAATGGAGGACTGTAACCCGGTTTCTACTCTAATGGAACCGGGCACTAAACTCTCAAAGTTTGATGGAGGAGAACGAGCTGATTCTGGGAGATATCGAAGCTTAATCGAAAGTCTGAGATACCTTACAAACACAAGACCCGACCTAATGCTGAGTGTTGGGATAACGAGCAGATACATGGAGAATCCAAGTTACACACATTGGAAGATCTTAAAGAGAATTTTGAGATATATTCGATGAACCTTATCACTTGGTCTATTCTATTCAAAATCGGATGACTACCAACTAGTGGGTTACTCGGATAGTGATTGGTGTGGTGATGTTGATGACTGGAAAAATACTTCAAGTTATGTGTTCCTACTCGGAAAAACAGTTTTTACTTGGCTGTCAAAGAAACAACCTATTGTAACTCTGTCAACCTGTGAAGCTAAGTATGTGGCGGCCTCTTGGAGTGTGTCATACAGTTTGACTTTCAAATCTACTAAGACACCTGGGAGTGATCCAAGACGAAAGGACTATAACTCGAGTTGACAACAAGTCGGCGATCAAGTTGGCAAAAAACTCGATTAATCATGGAAGGAGCAAGCACATCAACGTTCGATTTCATTTCATCCGAGAATAAGTTAGAGAAGGAAAAGTTGAGCTGAAGCATGTTGAAAGTCGAGCTCATGCTACTGACGTATTCACCAAACCACTACCAACTACATTGTGGAAAGTTGTAAAAAGCTTAATGAAATAAGAAATGGAAAGTTGTAAAAAGCTTAATGAAATAAGAAATGGAAAAAGTATTTAAATTTTAAGAGGAAGATTTATTGTAAAACTTAAATTAGCCATTTAGTATTTCTAGAATAATATTAATAATTTTAATTACAAGTAGTATAATTAATGTGTTATAAATCTATTAAATTATGATTTATGTTTCACAGTCAAATATTTTGTTATAATAATACATGAGTAGCAAAAATTGAGAGGTTCGTTTTGTTTTTCTGGTAGCAACACAAGTAGCAGGACACATAAAGGAGGGGTGAGCGGGCTTGGAGGTAGCCTCTGATCATGGTGTTGTACATGAAGGTGTTGCGGTGGGTGAGGTGGCGGAAGATGGAGCGAGCGTAGGAGAAAAACGACGCATCGTTGGAGGTGGCTGCGACGGAAAGAAGCGGAGCGAGAGCATACGGCGTGTCGTTGATGCGGCATCGGAGGATGTGAGCGTGCAGTTGCTTGAGCTGGATTAGGGTGTTGCATTTTTGTGCCACGGTTGTGAGGAGCCCCTTCTTTACGGTCATGTGATCTTAAAATAGAGGGCATTTCTACTATGCACTCTGCACAATCAAACACGAACCAACCAGCTATACACGTATCTCTCTCTATCTTTATTACAGTCGTATTTATTTATACCTTCTCCCTTTTGCCCACTACCACTCTGAGTCAACCTAACTCATCATCAATTTGAGTTGCATTGAGTTATAAGGAATTTAAACATTTCTAATTATAGAATAATCTCTAGATTCATTACTAATTGACCAGATGATCTCTCCAACGATAGTTTGAAAACTCACTTCTATAATTATCTCAACATCCTCTCATGCCCTATTCAAAATGTCATTAACTAATTTTATTCAAAAATTGATTGATCGCACATTTATGATTGTCTAATCTCAAAACTATATTGAGAAGTGTAAGAGCTAAAATTCTTGCAGAGTCTAATATTTACTTGATTGTTAAAACCTGCAGGAGAAAATTCAAAGCCTTGTTTCATATATTTCTCAAGTGCCAACCACCCCATCTCTTATTAAACTAAACAACAATCTTATTCTTAAAGATCAAATTCATCGTAGTAACTAGTGGTGGACACATGAGTAACATTTTCTCTGATCTCAAACTCAACCTCAATTTCCTTCCTTGATCACTCTTCTGCTAAACTTATAATTTTCTTTCCAATGTTCTCCCCTTTGAAGAGTCCAACAAAAGCAGAAGGGATGCTCTCCACACCCAATGAAATGTCTTCAATCACCTCTAACTTTCCTGTACGAAGATAATCCAAAGTTTTTGCGAAAAAATCTTCAAAAACATTCAGAAAATCAGCGGCCAAAAATCCTCTGATGTTGATTCTCTTGTACACAATTTCTAACATGTTTGGTGAAGCTTTCTTTCCACCACCTGTATACTCAGATATTACCCCACAAACAGCCACTCTTCCAAATATCCTCATATTAGCAACCGCTGCCTCCAGCATCTCACCCCCAACATTGTCAAAATATATGTCAATTCCATCAGGAAAATACCTGTAATATAAAACAAAAACTACATCAAACACTATATAATTGAAGTTATTATCTTCTGTTCAAAAACAAGCTTGTGATTTTATCTTCCATCACTAACAAACAAACCTTTTAAGAGTGGAGTTTAGATCTTTTTCCTCTTTGTAGTTGAATGCTTCATCAAAACCTAGCTTTTCTTTCAGCAATGCCACCTATGACAATAATGCATGGATGAGGCTCTTAAGCTTGAAATCCAAGTTAGCTTAGAATTCTTCTAAACATTAGTCACCTCACCTTTTTCTGGCTTCCTGCACAACCAACAACATAGCAACCTAAAAGCTTTGCATATTGCCCTACCAAATTTCCAACTGCTCCAGAGGCTGTGGAGACAAAGACTTTTTCACCCTTTTGGGGTTTACACAATTCAAAAAACCCAGCATAAGCTGACAGTCCGTTGAATCCTGCATTACTTAGAGGATGGAAATAAGTAAGTAAAATTAAATTTTCAAACATAAACAATACCAATTCAGATACTGTGATACAAAATGGTTTATTAGTGGAAGTTTTAGAAAGAAGTATTAAATTGGTAAAATTTGCTTTAAGAATTATAAAAAAGACAAGTTTTAAAGAATTACAAGAAGGATGACTTCAATGAAGTTGTGCTTTGAATAACATTTTTTTAAAATAAAGTAACTGAAATAATGTTTTTTAATAAAGAAAATCAAATTTATATTACCACAGCTTAACTAGAGTTTTTTTTTTAAGTCGTATTTTCATAGGTTATGTTATTTTCTTTTTCACACAAATAATAGAGAGTGATTTAAGACTGGGTTTGAATGAAAATCTGTAACTGACACGACTGTGTATCAACTACCCAAAACTAACTTTGCTGATACAGTAACTAACTAAACTGTAATAAGTCATAAATAATAGTTACCGAGAACTCCAAGATGATAAGACAGTGGAAATTCAGAGGACTCTAATTTTCTTAGGATACTCTCTTCTTTGACCAAACTGTACTCTGCCCAGGTGAATACTCCCAACACCAGGTCATCTTTCTCGAACTTGGCATTCCCCGAAGCCACAACTTTTCCAACAACAACACCATCAATAGCCTGGAAATGTCCCACACATAACCAACAACATTACAACCTCAGTTAACATCATTTTAGATCAATTTTTATGTACTTAATTTTTCAAGGGAATTGATTTTAAATACAATAAAAGTGTCGAAATTTATGGCATATCTTCGAAATCAATTTTGCAAAACTAATTTCATTGATATACAAAATTGGAAATTCATCCCCTCACTATATCAAAATTATGGAAATTCATTTCTTAAGAGCGCAACTAGACCAAAATGTTATTTTTAGTAAACATATTAGAAAATAATATTGAATGATTACCTGGCCTGGATTTATAGGCAGTGCGAGGTTTATAGTAACCTGGGAGGAACAAGAAGATTTCATGCGGTTAATCTGGTACGGGTCCATAGAAATGTAGAGATTCTTGACGATGATATCATCAGACCCTGGCTCAACCGAGAGAACAATTGTCCCAGTTTTGACCTCAAAGTTGGACACTTTGGGTGCATCTTCAATTTGATGCTTTATCACTATGTATCTATTCTTCACTTCCATTTTTCTCCTTTCCCTGTTGCTGCTTATCTTCATGCACACCTTTTACACAAAATTTATACAACCAAGAGGCCTGGAAACAAAACAGATCTAATTGTCATTAGATAAAATTATTCACATGGGATTGTTTGTTTTTAACCCATAATTCCAGAATGGATAAGGTTTATCGGTTAAAAACAAACTTCAAAATATATTTTATTTTAATCTTTATATATTTTCTCAAATTTAATTTTAAAATATATAATTTTTTTTTCGTTTTTATTATTATGTCATACTAAAAATTTATTATTAAAATTAATTAAATTATATATGTTTAAATGTATTTTTTTCAATTTTTTTATAATTATTTTTATAAAATAATGTATTTACTTTTTCACCAATTATATATCATATAACTTTTAAATATATAAGTTATAATAATTATTTTTTTAATTATGATAGTTTTATTTTTCTCTTTACATATTTTTTGTGTAAGGAATCTGGCCTGCAATAAACAAACAAAGGAGACAGCGTGCCAACTGACAAAAGGGAATCATATGTAAAGGTGAAATCTTTAGCACTCCAGATTCTTTTATAAATTCCATCAAGTTTTAAATTTGAAAACCAATATAGGTCGATGCTATTAAGGTTATTGATAATTAAAAAAAAAAAACTCTAATTTATGTTTATTATATAATTTCCATTGAGAGCTACGTAGAAGAGTTATTATTTATCAAATAGAAGTATTATTTTTATACGTACAAATATAAATTATTTAAAATTAAAGATTATTTAGTTTTAAGTAATTTATAAAATTTATATTAAAATAATATTTCTATTGATAAATACTTTTTATATACAACCTAATATGCTTTTAGATTAAAAAATTAAATTAATACGTCGCTAAAAATAACGAAAGGGGGATTGTTAGTATTTGTTTGTATAAATTATTCATAGTAATAATAAATTTATACATAAATGTATAATTATTATATACATATTAAGTTATAGTTTATTGGTAAACAGTATTCTAAGATTAATTTGAGAACAGTTTTTATAAAGTCATTTATGTATAAAACAAATTTAATTAATAAAAAAATTATTTTATGTTTTTCTTCTGTATGTGTTTTTGAAAAAAAGAAAATTATCCAAGAAAAGTTTTTAATATAAAATGTTGAATGTTTTCGATAAAGTTTGACTGTTTAGTTAAACTAAAAATTCATTCACAGTAAAAAATAATAGTAACAAACAATAGATGCTTCTAGATTTCTATGCAGCAACAATAAAGTTATGAACATGTTAATAAGATATAATGAACTTCATTTACCCTTCATTTCACTTAGATAAAGTTAAATTAAATTTTACACATACCAACTTAACTAGAATATGCCTAGAACAGAACTTAACTACTTTATGCAGTTTATTTTTTTTTATTTGGATAAGTGATATATTGTTGCTTTTTTATTGTTTTTCTGTACCTCATATTTAAGTGATATTAAATTTTGGATCTTCGTTCTTATCATAAAAGATAATATTATTCTCATATATTTGAAATAATTAATAATTTAAAAAAAATCTTGGAACGTCTCAATGAATTCGAAAAAAAAGAATAGATTATTAAATCTAAAATATATAGTATATTCTTTAGTTCCAATTCAAACTAAAAATAATTTTCTTCAAATTCGAAAAACTTCTAAATTAATGAATCCATTTTTTTTTAATTTCTAAATAAGTGAGTCCACTAATTTTTATATAAAATAAAACTAAATTATACCATTAATCAATGTTTTAAATTATTATAAATTATTATTATTATTATCTCGTGAATATTTTTAATATTATTTATTATTATTTTTTAATACTATTAAATGATCAAAATTTGTCCATATTTAATATATATATATATATATATATATATATATATATATAATAGTGATATTAATTTTCTACATTAAAAGGGTTACATGAGAAAGTATAAATTGTTATGGTGTTTCCTATTTTTTTTCACTAGTTTCTTAAGAGATGACACTTTCATGAGAAAAAATGACTTATAACCCTTTGCTGTATTCTCCAAATTGTTTAAGTATTCATCTCTAAGATGTTATAAGATCTTAATCATGCAATTGATATAATGCTCCTTTACAAAAATAATAAACGATTTTTATCAAAATCATATGAAAAATACATGAGTAATTGATCCTCCAAGTTTCTATTGAAGGTCAAGGTGAATCTCACATTACCTTGGATAGAAAATTGAGTAACATTTTTAAGTAAGATGGAACTACAAACTTAATATTCTAAAGTTTTAGGTTTAGGTTTGAAGAAAAAGGCATATTCTATTCTATGATTGATTTATGATTTCATTAGTAAATATATCCAATTATTACCCTTTTAGAAATATTCAACAAT